CCCCGCCGGTCTAAGTTACCCCATTTTATGGTAGCATATTTGTTTTGCCATTATAATTTTTACAACACTTCTTTTTAACTTTACTTCTTGTTGTTTGTTTGTTCGTCTGCTAAAAATCTTATAATCTGTATTTAACACACTTCTACCTGTGACCTGTCCAATTGATCTGAAAGTTTGCACACTTGTATAAAGTCAGAAACAATGGGTGAATCAATTGGCAGAATAAATAATTTTGAACAATAAATTTTTTATAAATATTAACAAAAATTAAAAATTAATTTTTTTCTAATATTTGAAAATAGAATTATAAATTCATAGTACAGGTGTAACATTGGACACACTGGATTCTTTGGATGTGCCATCTTTAAAAAAGAATTTTTAAATGCATATTTATTACCTATGCATTTCAGCATTTATATTAGTTTTGGATAGATCTGATCAAAAGACCAGTTTTTAGATCTTTAGGATGCAAGAGACAGTTTCAGAACATTTCAATAATCCACAACAGGCAGCAGGGCAGTGTGCCCTGTGCCTGTTGTGGGTTATTGAAATGTTTTGAAACTGTCTCTTGCCTCCTGCCCCTAGCATAGGTTATAAACATACAGCATAGGTAATAACTAATAAATATGCATTCCCGGCACAGGCCAGGCTTGGCCTGTTCTTCACTGTTGACAAAACTATGCCAATTACTATTTACCAAGTCTAACTGTCTAACCATAAATACATAACAGCTATTATACTATACTCAATTTCTTGATAGTCTGACAGACTGACACAGTAGACTAGTAGTCAGGTGAATAGAAATCACATTTTTACCAACGAAATAAAAATCTAATAGCGAATTGTAATAGGTAGTAAATTAGTAATACAGAACCTACTATAGTGTATTGTAACAGTATCGATATCAGTCATTATCAGAATACTGTATCTGTTTGAACTTTGAAAATTCATGATGAACTTTTCGACTAAAGATAAGTTGACCCTATAATCGGATCATGAATAATTAAAAAAATTAACTATTCATATACAAAATAGGTAGGGTAAACATAACACAGCACTTGCTGATTTAACAGGAAATTACATTGCAATCGAAATTTTTTTTATGACAGTGCCCTCCCGTAATTGAGGGGTAAATAAACATTAGACAACAGTGCAAACTGCAAAGCACAACGCAATATCAGATATTTATTTATATTCCGATGCTCCTTCATATGCATTATAGACTTTTGATAAATTTATGAACTTAACAGTACACAATGTTCAAAATCTGTCTATATTTGATTAACATAAAGTCATACAATTTAACAACTCGTTAGATTATAAAAAAATCTTGAAAGGACGACATTTACCCCCACTTCTCCCCCACAGATCACCACCGAACATCAAAACAGAGGCAAGTAACGAATCTTGGATAAGGGAAAAGGAATGCAATTCTTTATTACTATTTCAAACATGCACAGGCCTGTTAAAATAGCGCAAAAAATAATAATCAATCTAGCACCGTTCATAAACTCACAATGAAATGTCATTTTGGTTATGAAAAACTGTTTTGTGGGAATGGTAAAATTCAAGCCAAAAGGTTTAGAGACAAAGAATTATGTTTAGCGATTTTTTTCCGAGAACGATTGAATACATAGTGTTATTTTCATGCTTAAGGCAACGAAATTTTAGAGTAAATTCAGAGCACAATATTCAGTACTTTAATTCGGGTACATTATTATTACCGTACATAGCACTCATTCATTGTCCGGTATCTCAAGTTGACATTTACTTTATTATTAGGGATTATAGACGAAACATGCCTAAAAGTTTTTATTAAGACGTAATGTAAAAGGTTCTTAACATTATATTTTGTATACAGTTTAAGCCAACTATTTCAGCCCTAAACCATTTTCAGTTGCGAGCCCCGAACTTCGGCATGAATCGGCGACTTCTCGCCACTGTGGGAACACCTTGTCACCTACTCACATTCTACCCCTACAGCATTTCCGACGTACCTCAGTGTGCAAATTGTGTCATTAGAGATTTCTCGCGTATTTTTTTACGAAAGAGGTAGATGTTCTTGCAAAACTGTAGTTAGTTGGCATCGTCCTACATAATTGATGCACAACGCTCGCAGTACGAGATGAGTCTATGATTTGCAGATTTTCGGTACCAAGGGAACGATGGACCAATCCAGTAGGTCATTTAAAAGGCGAACCAAACTACCACTATTTTACAGTATTTTTTAAATTAAACGAATTGTGATGGAAGTCCTAATCATTGATATTTTTCATAATCATGGCTGAAAGTATTGAGAATGGTGCCGCCATTTGTGATCTGATGAAGTCCAGGGTGCTGCTTTCCACGCATCGTTTAATCGTCCCATCAGAAAACTCCCTAGCGCCTTCTTCTTCTTCTTCTTAGAAGTGGGAGCCTTGATTGTTGGGTTAGGCACTCTGGTCGTGAGACTGGGTGGAGTGCGGTTGCCTTCATCTACCCTGTAGACAGCAGAACCACTCCAGCAGTAGCCACATGCGTAGTAGTCACCAGGTGGAAGCAACTGGTACCATGTCACCTGCACACCGGCATCCTTCTCTGAGCAGCAGAGTCCATCTCTCTCGAGACAGTCGACGCTCTCCTCGACCTCCTCCAGGCGGCCACCAGAGCACTGCAAGCTCAGTTCCAGCTTCTCCAGATGTAGAATCTGCTGAAGGCGCATCGCCTGACGCGCGCCCTCACGGAACTTGATGCTTCTTTCCGTTGCCACGCGCGACGTCTCCTTTCCCTGCGTCAGCCACTCCAAGAAGCTCTGGGCACTCGTCGTGCTGACAGTCAGTAACAGCAGACAAGCAATCGCAACCACTAGTTTTTTCCACATATTTATTTGATGGATGTTTTCGTTTAAAAACAGTTTCACTGCTATGATTTCTCTTTTATTCAACTCGTCTCCCAAATGTCGGATGCATCTGTTCGACGCCGGTTCTTGCCCCACGCTGTAGCATCGATACCAAAAATTACTCAGAGCCTTTTCATTTGAAATTGTTGCTGGTTTCACCAATCTGATAACCGATGAAAAACATCTACTCAAATTGTTTCGAAACTGTTTTTCAATTAAGCTCGTGATAGAAGTCCACTTCGCGAGGAAGGTCTGCACATACAGAGATTTGTTCGTCATTCAAATATTCAACATAGAACGTGTGTCTAGCAAATAAGTCGAGAAAAAGTCTCAAAGACTTCATCGAAAAATTCAAATAGGTGTTGAGGATCACATTCACGGGTGCAATGGCAACACTTTCTGTGTATCTTTTTCAACATAACTCTTACATGTTCTGTACAGCAGCTGCCAGGGGCACACATCCAACGCGCAACTTAAAGCACATTAACCACCACACAGTAGCCCATATGACAAACTTAGACACATCGTGCCACAACAAGACCTATCCAAGAAGCCAATCAAGGCCAAACGGAAAACCAGGACCTATCGGGCAGCAAGGATCCGACGGCCCACCACAGACCACAACGGACCCCACCACGGACCCCACTGCTCACCACGGACCCCACGGTCCGTCACGGACCATCGCGGACCCCACGGCCCATCACGGACCTCACGGCCCATCACGGACCCCACGGACCATCACGGACCATCACGGACCCCACGGCCCATCACGGACCCCACGGCCCATCACGGACCCCACGGCCCATCACGGACCCCACGGCCCATCACGGACCCCACGGCCCATCACGGACCTCACGGCCCATCACGGACCTCACGGCCTACCACCTGTCTCTTATACACATCTAGATGTGTATAAGAGACAGCCTCTATCCTTGACGCATGATCACTTCGCCNTCGGAGAAGCACGAGGCATCAATGACGTCATCATGTTACATATCTAGGAATAAGTTGCTTTTAGTCAGACAAAACCCTGCAATGCTACCTTCTTATATTTGAGAGAAAGACCTTTAATGCCACCATGACTTATTGTAAGACTATAGAAATGGAGAAATAATCGAGACTTGCAGTTTAACCCAAAGATTTTAATGGTGAAGACCGTCCTATGAAGACTGACAAGTAATCAAGACTCACAGTTGTCACCGAAGACTTTAGTGGTAAAAACCTCCCTAAGTTGTACAAGGCCGGAATGCTGGAGCTTCTTCCACATGTCGACGATCTGCGTTACTTTGACGTTATTGAGGCGGTAGCTGTGGATGCGGTACAGACAATACTGGATGCCGCTCTTGCAGTGAGTCGCCTGCAACAAACAATATATCAGTGTCCATTGTTCTCGCTGCCCTGGGAAAATGATATCAAACTAAGAATTATCGACTAGTATCACTAGATCATAGGAGTGTGAGCCAAACTTTATTTCAAGTTGTACTTGGAACATCAGATGGTTTCTAACAGACAGACGTAACATAGCCAGACATGTAGATGGTGACGCACCTTGTAAACAGACGTGACGTGGCCAGACATGTAGACTGGTGACGTACCTTGTAAACAGACGTGACGAAGGCAGACATGTAGACGTGTAACGCACCTTGTGAACAGACGTGACGAGGCCAGACATGTAGACGAGTGACGCACCTTGTAAACAGACGTGACGAAGCCAGACATGTAGACGAGTGACGCACCTTGTAAACAGACGTGACGAGGCCAGACATGTGGACGTGTGACGCACCTTGTGAACAGACGTGACGTAGCCAGACATGTAGACGAGTGACGCACCTTGTAAACAGACGTGACGTAAGGCCAGACATGTGGACGTGTGACGCACCTTGTGAACAGACGTGACGTAGCCAGACATGTAGACGAGTGACGCACCTTGTAAACAGACGTGACGTAGCCAGACATGTAGACGAGTGACGCACCTTGTAAACAGACGTGACGAAGCCAGACATGTGGACGTGTGACGCACCTTGTAAACAGACGTGACGTAGCCAGACATGTAGACGAGTGACGCACCTTGTAAACAGACATGACGTAGCCAGACATGTAGGCGGGTGACGCACCTTGTAAACAGACGTGACGTGGCCAAACATGTAGACGGGTGTCGTACCTTGTAAACAGACGTGACGTAGCCGAATATGTTGGACTTGAGCTGAACTTGAGGGTTGTCTAGCGGCACGAGCTCGTGATAGAAGTCCACTTCGCGAGGAAGGTCTGCACATACAGAGAT